CATTGGTTTAAATCATTACTTTTCAGAAATGATACTTTGAAAAGCAAAAATGCAAAGGTTTAATACTTTCTTTTACTTCAGATATACATAGTAATGACCCAGGAATAACAATTCTGCATTTTTTACCAGTTAAGAGCAAACAGATCTAGAGAATGGGAGCCTAAAACGTCTCCCTTATACATTCCGAAACTGCTGGGTGAGGCTGGCTTCTCTCCTGGTTCCAGGACCCTAGGGTGAGGGGACCACGTAGTCCTCCCCATGTGTGTGTGGGGTTGGCGGGGTGGGAGTGGGGGGAGGGGATGGGGTCTTGACAGAGATAATCACGTTCAAGTGAGGTCATGAGGGTGGGCCCTAATCTAATATGACTGGTGTCCTTCTAAAACAGGGAGATGTGCACACAGAAAGAAACACGCACAGAGGGCGGATGTTGAGAAGGGACACAGGGAGAAGACGGACATCTGTGAATCAAGGAGAGGGGCCTGGGACAGATCCTGTGCTCAGAGCCACAGGAGGACCCAACCCTGCTGACATCTTATTTTAGCCTTGTTGCCCCCGAACACAGACGATAAACTTCTTTAAACCACCAATTTGTGGTTTAAAGGAAACCCCTACAGCCTTTGTAGGGAGCTGAGTGTGCAGGCTCAAATTGGGGTCCTGGGAGGCTCATGGGAGATGGAGTCACGTGGGGTTCAAATCCCAGATCCTCCAGTTAAGCAAGAGAAGTGACAGATGACGAACGAGAAGCCGCTGTCAGCCAGTCTCCTCATCCGGAGCCGGTTCCAGTACCTCCCTTCCGGGGCCCTTGAAAGGACTAAACAAAACACACGTGAGGTACAAGAACAGTACTCAGCTGTGGCAGGCACAATCCTGGTCCTCAAAGACGCCCTCATCCTAATCCCTGGAACCTGTGAATATGCTACTTTATAAGGCAAAGGGCCCGCCGATGTGATCAAGTTAAGGATCTCCAGGTGAGGAGAGGATCTTGCGTTATTCAGGTGGGCCCAATGTCAAGGACCCTATAAGAGAGGCAGGACCTGGCGCAGGCAGAGAAGGTGATGCGATGCCGGAAGCAGAGGTCGGAGTGATGTGGGACCTCTGACCAGGGAATGCCGGAGGCCTCTAGAAACTGGAACAGGCAAGGAAACAGCGAAGGAATGCAGCCCTGCGAACCCGCTTTGGACTTCCGACCTCCAGAACCGTAAGAGTAAATCTTGCTGTGTTACATCCCTAAGCAGGGGTAATGCGTCCCGGCAACCGCAGGAAACTGACGCCTTAGCGTCTAAGGCGGTCAAGAGATAGCAGCTCCCTTCCATCCCGGAATTCCTCCGAGTTCACGAGGTGGGGAAGGGGGTCATAAAACATGTGAAAACAAAGATGTGAGGCGGTGCGAAAGGTGTCAGGGGGAGTGCGGGACAAGGTATGGACCGCTACGGGTTCAGAGATGGGGGAATGATGGAAAGCTGTGTGGTCTAACAGGCTCACCGGCGGACATAATACACGAGAGAGGCCCCATGAATGGTTGATGTGAATGGGCCTAGAGAAGGAAGGGGTTGAGGGGAAGCTGGGGAGCGGGGGGAGCAGGGGAGTGAGCAGTAAGGCCTGGGAGCAAGAGAGCTGCTTACAAGCTGCGTTTGTGCCCCGCCATCCAAGCTGCAGAGGGGGAGCCGGTTTCCTAGGGAAACTCGATCCCGCCTCCTCCTTAGTAAGGTACCAGAGAAGACCCAAGCTCTTCTAAGACACATGCTGACTTCACATCAATGTTCAAGGGTCGGAGCCATTAGGATGGGAGGTGTGAACTGAACAGCAGGGGACGGTGCCTGTAGCAGGGACAGGTCCCAACACCAGCCCAGCGCTACAAATCACCACTGAACCGGAGACGTGGCTAGAAGAGCTCCTGGACACCGGTAACACCCGCCCACGGCAGGCAGACGCTAGGGGCCTTCGTGGGGTCCCAAGATGACTCCAGAGGCCCCAGGGGTCATCCTTGATGCTCTCCCTTCCCGTGAACTCATTCCCCACGGCTGTAAATGCACACGTGTGACTCCCACACTTTTAAGCTCCAGGCCCAAGTAGTCAATTGCCTACCTGACAGCCTCACTTGAGTATCTAACAGACATCTCAGACTCGGCGTGTTCAAAGCTGAGCTCCGACTTCTCACCCCAGTGCTGCTCCTCTCACACCCTCACCCATCTCAGTAGATGATCACTCCTTCCTTCCAGGGGCTCTGGCCAAAAGCCCTGGGGTCATTGTTGAGTTCTGTCTTTCTCTCACTTTGTCTGTAATAATCTGTCAGGGAATCCAGTTGCCTCTACCTTCAAAATACATCCTTTATCAGAACACTCCTAACCACCTCCACGGCTACCACTCTAGTTCAAGCCGTCCTCATCTCCCACCTGAATAGCCTCCTGACTGTCTCTGGGCTCCTACCACAGCCCCTCCTGCAATCTATCCTCAGCACTGTGGCCAGAGCATCCTTCCACAGTGCAAGCTAGAGATCTCTGCTTCGGCCCTGAAATGGAACCCTGCCTCGTTCTAAGTAGAACCCCACCTGGTCCTTAGAATGTCTATATGCCCGCTCCATCCAGCTGCGGGTTCCATTGTCTATGACCTCCGCCTGTGACCTGTTCCCTTTGTCAGCCCACTCTGCTCACAGGCCTCCTTGCTGTTCTTCAAATGCGTCATGCGTGCACCTGACTCAGGATTTTTGCTCCAGCTGAACTCCATGGCCGCCTTTGGTCTTTGCATCTCTTCCTCAGTGAGGCCTACCCTGATGTTAGAGTCTGAGTGTCTCCCCCAAATTCAAGTAACCCCCAGCACCTCAGAATGTGACTGCACTGGAAGAGAGGGTCCTGAAGGAGGTTATTAAGGTTAAGTGAAGTCATAAGGGAGGGTCTTAACGACTCCAGGATGACTGGTGTCTTGACCAGAAGGGATTAGGGCACCTCCAGGTAGAGGGGAGACCGTGTGAAAATAGGGGGAAAATGACCATCTACAAACCAAGGAGGGACAGGCCTCAGAAGAAACCAACTCTGCTGATACCTTGATCTTGGATTTCTAGCTTCCAGAACTGTGAGACAAGAAATTTCTTTTATTCTAGCCACCTGGTCTGTGGTACTTGGTTACAGCAGCCCTAGCAAACTAATACCCCGGCCCACATTGCTAACACTGCATCTGGCCCCTGATCCTCTTAGCCAGCTCTGCCTCTCTTCCCTCATAGCATTCGTCACTTGTCACATACTTACTTGTTTAGACACATCTCATTTATAAATTAGATCTCCCCTCTGCTCCTCAACCCCAAGTGAACTCCACGAGGGCAGGAATCTTTTCTTGACTGCTGTATTCCAAGCACCTCCACCAGCGCATGGCATATAGCAGGTGCTCAGAAAATATCTGACAGATGAATGAATGTTAAGACTCCCTGGGTGCTTAGACCTCATTGCTGGCTGTGCATCTTCCTTCAGAGGGAGGATGCTGAAGGATAGGGTAGAAGATGACATTGCTGGGCTAGCTCCAGGTGTCACATAATAAATGGAGGAAGAAAATCTCTAAGTTTTTACTCTTTCTCACACATCCCCAACCCTGCACCCCCAGATCTCCAGAGTTCTCTTTGTCAGTTAACAGCACCTCTTTATTCAGACCCCAGACCTGGAGAATGGTCCCGGACTTGTCCCTTCCCCTGCACAAAGCCCAGTTCTTTCCACAGTTCACTCCACTGCCGAGTTCGTGACTCCAGCCCGGGCACTCAACTACCAGCCTCCTCGTGGACCCCTGCAGCCGCCTCTGGCATGGTCTCCCAGCAGCCAGGGAGGTACTTCAGATGCTCTGAAGAGTCACGTGCTCTCACCTCCCCGCCCCCTCCCATCTACTTGTTCACCATACACCTGACTCCCTTGTAATGACATGTTCACTTTTCTGCCTCCCCTACTGGACAGTTGATGAGGCTTGGGGGCGGTCCGTGTTCCTAACGCCTGGCACAGTGCTTGGCACAAAGCCCACGCTCCAAACTTATTTGTTGATCATCTCTTTTCTTGTTACTATGACTTTCTGCACGGTGTATCCCAGAGCACTGGGGGAGGGGGGAGGAGACGGAGATGGTTTCACTAGGGGGCAAAACCCAAAGCCCCCCGGACCCGGCGCGCACTCACCTTGGCCGAGACCCCCCTCCAGCTGCAGAAAGCCTCGTAGGCGGCGCGCACGGCGGCGCGGGCCTCCGCC